ATCGAATCGGAAAGTGCGCCGGATCTGACTGCATCGGCACGGCATCAGAGCTTGCGCCGGACTCGCTGCGCCAGGATGCACCGTAGCGCCACGCTTCATACATCGGACCGCATCAGGTCGAGCCTCACACAATCCGCATCGAATCGAATCGGTCGCATCGGCATGGAGCCCGAACGGGGGGGGCTTCTTCTCCTCTTCCGGAGCTCCCCTGGCTGCCCTCCGCCGCCAACCGATGCCCGAAAGGGTGTGCGCTGGAGTGGACCCCGAACGGGGGGGGGAGCTGGCGGCGGAGCAGAGGGAGGCGAACACCCGCGCGGGCGGCATGGGAACAACACGGCTGCCAGGAGGCTGGGCGGCCGGGAGCACGAAGGCGGAGAGCGATGCGGGAGGAGGAGGAGGAGGAGGAGGAGGAGGAGGAGGAGGGGGAGGATGAGGACGAGGAGGAGGAGGAAGAGGAGAGGGAGGAGCAGGAGGAAGAGGAGAGGGAGGAGCAGGAGGAAGAGGAAGATGATGAGGAGGGGGAGACCGGGAGAGGCCTCGTTTAAAATTGGTTGGGGCTCGGAGGCGAGAGAGAGAGAGGCCAGACCCAAGCGCTGCAGCCCAGCAGGATCGAGCATCAGAGCATCAGAGCAGCACTGTGTGGCACAGGGATTCCGAATTCCGAGCGGTGGAAGAGGTGGAGGAGGACAGGAATCGACTTCCTTCGCGGTGCGTAATCCCTCTAGTTCGCGACAAGCTTCATAGAGCGTGCTGCAGCATGTCGGAACAGAGAAGGCCGATTTGGAGGAGGCAGCATGGTGAAAGAGACGCGGGGGGGGGGGAGGGTGTGAGGGAGGACGAGCCTTCCCCTCAGCCTGGAAACTCCACGAACCTCCTCCGGCTCCTCCTCCTCCCCCCCGCCCCCTCCCGCTCCCGCTCCCTCTGCTCCCCCCCCCCCTCCTCTCCCTCTTCCCCCTTGGGGAGCCACTTGGCGCCCTCCTGCCCCTCCTCCCTCCCTCCCAGTCCCCGAGGGCCTGGGCCTGGGCCTGGGCCGGGCCAGGGTGCGCCCCCCTACCTCGGGCGCCCCCCCCCGAGAACCCTCCTCGGGCCCTGGGGGGGGGGCCGCGGGGCGGGGTCGGACCCTGGCCCCCGCTGCGCGGCCGGGCACACCCCCGCCGCTGGGGCCGCACTCGGGCTCCTGCAGCCCCCCTCCCCCCCCACTGCAGGGGCTGGAGCGGGAGGCACGCTCCGTTGGCCGTCCTCCCGCGAGGGCTGCCCGGGGGGGGGGGGGCCTCGGGAGAGGTGCGTCCGTGTCTCGGTGATGGCGGCAGGGTTGGGTGGGCGGTCTGCGGATCTGAAAGAGTGCGTGGTGGAGGTGGAGCCCCCCCCTTTTTGCTGGAACCTCCAATAACCTGCTCCTCCCCCTCTCCTCCTCCTCTCCTCCCCTCCTCCTCCTCCTCCTCTCCCTCCCTCCCTCCTCCTCCTCCTCTCATCATCCTATCATCATCATCGTCATCATCATCATCATCATCATCATCATCATCATCATCATCATCATCATCATCATCATCATCATCATCATCATCATCATCATCATCATCATCATCATCATCATCATCATCATCATCATCATCATCATCTCCATCATCCTCAGCATCATCATCAGCATCATCATCTCCTGCTCCTGCTCCTCCTCCTCTTCTTTCTCCTCCTCGTCCTATCGTCATCTCCTCCTCCTACTCCTCCTCATCCTCCTCCCCCCTATCCCGCTGTCTTCCTCTGTCGCCCTCTCCTACGCCATACCTCCAAGGGGCCAATGTCATCCTGGAGGTCCCTGTCGAGGAACTACAATAAACCTCTTGGCTTCCCAAACGCGAGAAGCCTGCCTCCCCCTTCTCCTCCTTCTCTCACCTGGTTCCTCGTCCTCCTCCTCCTCATTTGACTCCTCCTCCTCCTCCTCCTCCTCCTCCTCCTCCTCCTCCTCCATCCTCCTCCTCCTATTCCTCCCTATTGTCACCCTGGAGCCCACCGATGGTACACCGTAGACCCACCCAGTGAACACTCCAATCACCCCCAACAACAACGTCAATATCATGGGGCTCCTCGTCCTCCTCCTCCCCCATCCTGCGCCCAGTCGTTTGTTGTGGCCATTTGTGTCCCTGCGAGACATCTTGGGTCATAGGTAGCTTGCGGCCGTCTTGGGCCAATATCGGGGGCATGCTGCAACTGTCTGAGGGCGGGCATGGGCCGTCATGGGCCATGGAGCCGTCTTGAGGCCGATACGAACGTGACGCAACACCAAGTCGAGGGGTGTGAATACCTTTGCGGACCAGCAACGACGTGGCGCGATTCGGAAATTGAGTAGTAAGATCTTAAGACGGCCACCAAGCATTCGAACACGCCACAACTAACTTGCCACTTGCAAGGTGGCGGATCCTCCCTTCCTTCCACTCGTCCTGGCAGCCAAATTGGCACCGTGAAGCTTCTCGCCCTCAAAGTCAAACAGCCATACGTCGAGACCTTCGGCGCGGCTGGAGAACACCAGATAATGCAAGCAAGACAAAGAGACACAACTGGGTGGAGCGATTCAAGAGGGCGGCATATCACGGCAAACATGGGCAAAATATGAGTCGTTACGGACGAGCCGAATCGGAAAAGACACTTGAAGGCAACCAACAAACACCGTGATAACGCCATCAACGACACACCGTTGTATACCGTGATGGTGCGGGTCGCTGCTAGTACGTTCTCGCAAGGCCCCTTGCCGCTGAAGCGTTCTGGAGTGCGTCTGCGAGGAGGAGGAAGAGGGGAGGAGGAAGAGGAGGCGGAGGACGAGGACGAGGAGGAAGAGGAGGAGATGTTGTCCCTGATGTCTGCAATAATGAGCGCCTCCTTGTTATCCTTCCGTAGCTCCCGTTAGCTTGTCCTGACCCGTGCCCTGATAGGAACCAGATGGAGACACGAAACGGTGAGTCATGCGATCCACGACGCGCCTGCTCCCTGACGTCCTGCTGCTCCTTTGTCCAACTCCTCCTCCGACCCCGATCTTCCCCCTCCCAACTCTTCCCCCCGAGTCGTCAGATGCCCAAAAAGGGGGCCACGAATCCCGCAAAAGCTTGACCCTAGAATCCCAATCCTCGACGACGGCGACAACGTGGGACCGAAATCAGCTCGAAATCTGTCCCCAGACACCTGGCGGGGTTAATCATGGGCAATCTTACATCCTGGATCACTCCTTGATGGTGACATGGCCCAAACACGGCCTCCAAAGGCTGAACATGATAAACCACCTCTGCGGGCCTCGACGACGACGACGACGACGGCGATGACGACATCGACGACGACGACGAAGACGACGATGACGACAACAACGACGAATAACGACGACGACGACGACGACGACCACCGAAATCCACCCAAACACTGTTCCCAGACACCTGCTGGAGTCCGTCCTCGCAATCGACGGGAATCTCCAGAGGCGCCCGACCATCTCCGAACTGACGACGTGGATCGACGACGGCGACCACGGCGACGCCGCGGACGACGGCGGCGGCGGCGAGCGGCGCGCGGCCAGCGGCGAACGGGGACGGCGACGGGGACGGCGACGGCGACGGCGGCGACGACGACGACGACGACGGCGGCGGCCAGCCGTTCGAAGAATCAGGGGGACGTAAGACCCGGGTACGGGGGACTCGGAAATCCCCGACGAGGTCGTCAAAAAAATGACGAGGCCGAGCCTGCATTTTGACGAGGCCTCCCGCTGCAGACATCCAACGAAACTCCTCCTCGTCAAAATCCGAGGCGCGGTCGTCAAAAAACGATGGCGAACCCGAGTCCTGGCAAACCCGGGTCTTACGCTCCCCCGAAAGAAGAACACACGGCATAAACATTGACTCTTGGCGCTCCGCGCGGATTCCTTGGATCCGCGCGAACCCCCCCCTCCCTCCCTGGCGCGCAGAGCGCGCCGTGGGGCGGCGCCGGGGCCCCACGCGGATGCAAGAACTCCGCGCGGAGCGCCAACACTTTAGGTCCACGGCGTGCTCTCTTCTGCAAGCCGCAGCCCCTGGGCCGGCTCCCGTGCTTCACCTCCGCGCGACGACGCTGGCGACGGCGGCGACGACGGCGGCGACGAGGGCGGCGACGAGGGCGGCGACGAGGGCGGCGGCGGCGACGACGGCGGCCAGCCTGCTTCCGTGGGGTCCCGCTTCACCTCCACCAGCTGGGCGGCGCCTGCCTTTCTCTTCGCGGCGAGGCCCAGGCCGATCTCGGTGATGTTCTGGCCTTCCCGCGCCGTCCGGGCGGGCAGGATCTGTCGAGAAGACAGGGCGGCGACGTTGCCTGCTGCCGAGATGGCAGAGGCAGGGAAGTAGCCTCTCGCAGTCGCGCTGGCCCCGCCTTCTCCCTCCTGCTCCTCCTCCTCCTCCCTCCCTCCTCCTCCTCCTCCTCATCCTCCGCCTCCTTCTCCTCCTCCTCCTCCTCCTACTCCTCTGCGTGGACGGTGCTGCTTCTTGGCACCAGTAACATTGCTTCACCCTGCTCGCGCGCCAGCGCAGGGCTTATACGTTCGTTCGCTCGTGGGATTGAGGGTCGAGAACCGAGGATCAAGGTTCGAGGATGAAGGAGGTTCGACTGTCGAGGACCGGAAGGCATTCGGTATATTTTGGCCCGCCTGGGCCCTTTCTGGGCCTCCTGGAGGCCTCGGGGACCTCGTACTAGGTGATGTTCGGGCCTGCAGCGAAGCCCGAGCCGACCTGGGTGACGTTCTGGCCTGCTTGCGACGGGCTGTGGCAGAATCAGGGATCGACATCAGACTCAGACCCCTCGCGAATGTACAAATAACGACAGTGGCTGCAAAATCCAGACGACAAAGGCACTGGCGAGCGGACTGGAAGAAGACCTGATAGCCCGACCGTATGCGGCGCATACGGTCGGAAACAAATGTGTTGGGATATCTTCTGGCTCTCTCGGTGCCCTTACCGGGCCCTGAAGCTGTCAAAAACAGCCTCGGGATGAAAAAGTGGACCCTGGGAAGGGGTCGAGACCTCCAGAGATTCACGCTGTGAATGAGTATGGCGAAGGGCCCAACCCTACGCAGCTGCGTGTAGCGCAGGGCGCATTCGCTACAACGGTGCCCCTGTTTAGTTAGCTTCATCCGCCAGCGCAGACAACCCCTGCCTAGCCGCCGACGAAAGAAGTGTAGCTCAGGGCGCGGCCTCTCCTCAAATGGTTATGCCGATGTTTCTTCTCCGGCGAAAGCGGATGGCCGTCCACTCTTGATGCAAAAAGGCGCTTCAAATCGGATCTGCATCTGGCGGGGGGCCGAGAATACAAGATAGTTCCTCCTATGGCGAAGTGACGGCACCGTCGCGTAGTCCTCCATGGACCACATACAAATTCAACACACAATACCCAGCGATTGGGGAACACACAAACATACCGATACCGCTGTAGCGGAATATCGGTATCAAATACCTCTTGTGAACTCACCAGCGCAAGACCTGCGTTGAGATCCGCGCGGGAGGGGCGCACGCTTCCGCAAACCACGCGCAAGGGGGGGGCCGGAACGGGACCACTGGCCACCACGATGTCCCATTGCGGCCTCGGCCTGGTAATGCGTCGGGCTGCGTACAGGCAGCCCCCCCCCCAGGTAGCCCCCGCTGGCATCAGCATGCCCCCCGAGTACAGTCAAAACGTATATTAAGGACGCGTGGTAAGGACGCAAGACCTTGGAGGCTGAAGTTGGGATTTTTTTGGCGGCGGCGACCAGTGAAAACGGCAAAGGACGGGCCACAGAGGCAAGGACGCAAGGGTATCCTAGATGAAGGCGCGCGTCCTTACTAGGCGCGTTGACTGTGCTGTCCAGGCTGGCGTCAGCACGGGACGCCCCAGGGGCGCCGCCCGAGGCGGCGCCAGGGTGCTGACACCACCCTGCAGGCTACTCGGGAGCGGCCAGGAGGGGGGTGTCCAAGAGGGGGGGATAAGAACTAGGCAACGAAGACAAAAGAAGCCTAAGAAGAAGAGGAATCCTAAGAATAGTATTACTAACAAGATTAATGAGGGGTGCACATCATGTCCGGCGGCATGTGCGCAGCCCAGAGGGGAGGGCGAGCTACTCGGGGGGGGGGGCCTGTTGAGGCCAGCCGGGGCCACCTTGGGAGGCTGTCTACGCGCAGCCCGAAGCCTGGCCGCCTCGGCCGCCCTGCACGGTCTCCCCAGGGGCCACAGGCGACCCGAGGAGGAGGAGGAGGAGGAGGAGGAGGAGGAGGAGGAGGAGGAGGAGGAGGAGGAGGAGGAGGAGGAGGAGGAGGAGGAGCAGGAGGAGGAGGGGGGGGAGGGGAGGAGGAGGAGGAGGAGGAGGAGGAGGAGGAGGAGGAGGAGAGGAGGAGGAGGAGGAGGAGGAGGAGGAGGAGGAGGAGAGTAGGAGTAGGAGGAGGAGGAGGAGGAGGAGGAGGAGGAGGAGGAGGAGGAGGGGGAGGGGGAGGAGGAGATGGAGGAGATGGAGGAGGAGGAGGAAATGGAGGAGGAGGAGGAGGAGGAAGAGGAGGAGGAGGAGGAGGAAAAACACGAGGAGGAGGATGGGGAGGAGGAGGAAGAGGAGGAAGAGGAGGCGGAGGACTGGTCGCCTAAGCCCTTCGGAGCAACCCTCCAAACCGCCTGCCGCCCGCCCGAGGCCTTTGAGCGCGGTCGCCAGGTCCGGGTAGGTCACCGTCTTCGCCGACGCAAACATCTGCTCGAGGGGCTGGATGCGGTCGCCCTGCCTCGGGCGCCCGCGCCGGGAGGGGCGGAAGCGACGAGAGGAGGGAGGGGACGGCGAAGGGCGAGGATCGGGGAGGATGGGGCCCAGACCTCCTCGCGCTGCGAACACAAAAATACGACGGGATGTGTGTTCGCTATGTTCGGACTCTAGGAGCCCTCACTGGGCATCGGGACCGTCAAAGAACAACTCAGGATGAAAATCCTGTCCCCGGGGAGGGGTCCAGACCTCTGGGGGTAGACGTTGTGAAAAAATCACGACGCTGGAGCTCTGGGGAGGAAGGGCCGGGGGGGGAGGATGTTCCTCAGATGCCCCCAGGACTACAAGCGCTGGCATTCGCCTGCGAAGCTTGGCATTCGGCAAGCAACGACACTAATGGCACGCAGCGTTTTCCACGGGGTTCCCATGGCGACGTCACTCCATTGGACAGCCTGCTTTGGATTGGTAGCGGCATCTCAGCCGTGGGGCAAGGGGAGGAGGGTACGACACTATTGAACGGAAGCGCGGGCGCAATGGTTTTCTATTACAGAGTAGGTGGAGGGCGAAGAGAAGAACCAGGAGGAGGAGGAGGAAGAGGAGGAGGAGGAGGAGGAGGAGGAGGAGGAAGAGGGGGAAAATGCACGAGGAGGGAGCGAGGGAGATTGGGGGGCAGGGGGGAGGAACAGGAGGACGACGAGGAGGAAAGAGGGGGGGAGGAAGAAGCTGGTGGGAACGGGGGGGGGGGTGGTCGAGGGAGTGGAGAGTGGGGATGGGGTAAGGGGAGAATCGAGGAGGTTTTTGGGGGAAGAGGGGGGAGAGAGAAGGAGAGGAGGGAATAAGAAGAAGGAGGTTGCTGGATGAGAGGGCATCCAGGAGGAAAACCACTGGCAGATCGGCACGTCCCCGCGAACAAGACGCCCGCCTTTGATTATCTTGCACGCAGGGTCTTGCTTCGTTCACTCCCCCCTCTTCCTCCTCCTGCTCATCCTCCTCCTTCTCCTCCTCCGCCTCCTCCTCTTCAGCCCTTAGACTCCTCCCCCTCTTTCTCTGATTAATATTCATCTGTCCTCCCCCCTTCTGGTCTCTATTTTCTCCCCTCTCCCCCTCCTCACCATTGTTTTACGCTGGACCAGCATAAGCATTAAGGCTGCTGCGTTGAATGGTCAAGAAAAGTGTGCGTTGCGGAGCCGATTTAGGCATACTGTACAACAATACAGGCATAGCGGAACAACAATACAGGCAAGGCATAGCGGAACAACAAAACAGGCAAGAGGGAAAGGTAAAACGAGTGCAGCCCAATGGCTCTGAGTATACGCTTGCATCGCGGTATAAAGAAGAAGATGTCGACACGAAGATGAAGTAACCGAATACCTTACCGATAGAGGAATATTACGACGGAGAAAACACACAAAAAATCCGTACACGATGACCTGCTAGCCCTGAACCGTGAGTTCCCCGTGATTGAAATGCAATACGTACTGGGGCAGACTGGCAGCAACTAACATGACTGTGGCAAATGCAGTGCCAATCTCTCCCTCGTATGCAACCTGAACCTCCACATCCACCCGCAAGTCAAGCACGCGGAGTATTGCGGTGCAGGCTGAGGCTAGCTCATACTGTAGTCTGGCCTGTGACGCTATGGGGAACTGAATGCGTTCCTCGGTTTGGCATCCTAGAGCAAAAGGCCGTTGTGGGATTGGCCCTACTTGTGCACGCATCCCCTAGGCCCTACCGACGGGCCAAACTGGCCTCGAGCAGCGAGCTGCGAGTATGATACTGGGATAAGGCTCACTTGCAACTGGGCATCTTCAAGTATAATGCTGCAGGGAATTCGGCGGTATTGGACAGGGTCATGGCATTACAAGGCTGGCGCTGCCAGTGCAGGCTGGCCCTCCTCCTCCTCATCATCATCAGCAGCATCAGCATCAGCATCAGCATCATCACGATCACCATCACCATCACCATCATCATCATCATCATCATCATCATCATCATCATCATCATCATCAGCAGCAGCATCATCAGCATCATCATCACATCATCGTCATCATCATGATCATCATCACCAGCATCAGCATCAGCATCAGCATCAGCACCATCATCATCATCATCATCATCATCATCATCATCATCAGCATCAGCATCAGCATCATCATCCTCATCAGCATCAATATCATCATCATTGGTATCAGCATAATCTTCATCACCATCGTCTTCATCATCATAATCATCATCATCACCATCATTGCCATCCTGGTCATCAGCAGCATCATCATCAGCATCAGTAGCAGCAGCATCATCATCCTCATCATCATCAGCATCATCAGCATCAGCATCAGCATCGTCATCCCGATCATCAGCATCATCATCATCATCATCATCATCAGCATCAGCATCAGCATCAGCGTCATCATCATCATCATCATCATCATCATCATCATCATTATTATCATCATCATCATCATCATCATCATCATCATCATCACCACCACCACCATCATCATCATCATCAGCATCAGCATCAGCATCAGCATCAGCATCAGCATCGTCGCCATCCGCCGTAGCCGCTCTGGCTCAGGCCATTTTGCCTCGAGCCGCTGTTGGGGCGCGCTCTGCGACGGGCTCGCAGACGCAGGGCAGGGCGGCCCCGTCCGGGGCAGGGCGGCGCACGCCTGGCGGCAGCACGTCGGCCCGAACTCTGCCGCGGAGGCCCCGGCGGGCCCGGCGAGCTGAGGCGGGGCTCGCGCGGGCGAAAGCCGCCGCCCAACGTGCGGCCCCCTTCCTGCGGTCCCTCAACGCCCACTCGGCGGCGATCGCGGCGGGACTGCTCGGCTTGCTGGATGAGGCCGCCGTGGTGCGCGAGCCGGGCTCCCACTGGGCGCGCCACTCGCCCCCGCCGGGTGCCGCCGCACGTCGTGCTGCCCGGGGGCAGACCTTAAGGGCCTCTCCGCTGTTGCACGGCAACCGTACCGCAGAGTGGCCAAGACGCCCTCCCTCCCCGAAATCCCAACCGGCCACCTCACCAGGACATCCCCAAGGGGGCGGGCGGAGCTGCCCCCGAGAGGTCTTGGAACATCTCTGGCAACGCAAACGGCTGCGAACGAATTGTCACGACTACTGCCGAACCTTCACCGTGTCGGCTCGGCCTCTGGGTTCCGAGAAAGTCATCGCCACTGGAAAGAGCAAGGCCGCACCGAGCTTGCACACAGGCTTGGGTCCGAGCAAGAGCAGCGCACCGAGACAGAGTACGGGCAGGTTGCGGAGCAGGTGCGTGTGCATGTGAAGGATCCCATAGACACGGAGCTCAGGCACAGGGCCTCATCATGCGGACCCTCAGCGAGCCTGAGATCCTTGCGGCGGAGGTCCAGACCCTCATCGACGAAGAGCTGCAAGCGGGGAGGGCGAACTCCCATGATAACGTCAGCGGGTACGACCACCAGCTGGCGTTGGACCGTGTCGAGGACGAGATGGGGGAGGCAAATATTGAGCAAATATACTTGCAAATGGAAAATCCCATCGGCCTCATCGGGCTGACATTCCGCGAGGATGGGATTCGTGGGATGGAAGTCCAAACCCTGATCGAAGAGGCGTTGCAGGCCGCGGATCTCCACGCAGAGGAGGCGTTGCAGGTCGAATCCAGGACGTAGCTCACGGATGACTTCCAAGACCTCCTGGCACGACACCTCGAGGACGCGTTCGAGGATCATGTGTCCAAGCTCCTATCGATGAGGAGTGGCGCGACGCGGCGAAGAGGCTCCCGTCGGAGGCCACAGAGGTGGATCTCCAGCTGGTGCCGAGCCTCGTCGAGGATGAATTCGAGGTCGGGGGGCTCGGGCTGCCTGCCTGCACCCCCTAGCCCCAGGGATGTCCCTCGGTCGCCAGCCCGTCTCTGGGGGGCGGGGCCGACCGAGCGCCAGGCAACAGGAGTCCGCAATCCTTCAGTCACGTGTGTGTCCTCCTCCTCGTCCTCCTCCTCCTCCTCCTCCTCCTCCTCCTGCTCCTCCTCCTCCTCCTCCTGCTCCTCCTCCTCCTCCTACTCCCCCTCCTCCTCCTCCTCTTCCTCCCTCTCCACCTCAATATTATAATAATCACAATCATCATCCTCACCAGCAGCATCATCATCATCATCATCATCCTCCTCCTCCTCCTCATCATCATCATCATCAGCATCATCAACATCATCATCATCATCATCATCAGCATCAGCATCAGCATCAGCATCACCATTATCATCATCATCACCATCATCCTCATCATCACTACAATCATCATCATCAACATCATAGCAAACACAATCCTCATCATCAATATCATCGTGACCATCATCACCTTCATCAGCATCAGCATCATCACCAGCATCACCAGTATCTTTGTCATCACCATCATCATCATCAGCATCATCATCATACTCATCATCTTAATCATCATCATCATCGTCGTCATCATCATCACCGTCATCATCATCATCAGCAGCAGCATCAGCATCATCATCATCTTCATCAACATCAGCATCTTTATTGTGTTATGTGTATATATGTGTATATATGATATGTGTGTGTCGGCGGGAGGAAGAGGAGGAGGAGGAGGAGGAGGAGGAGGAGGAGGAGGAGGAGGAGGAGGAGGAGGGGGAGGAGGAGGAGGAGGAGGAGGAGGAGGAAGAGGAGGAGGAGAGGGGAAGGGGAGGAGGGATTTGGAGGAGGAGGAGGGATGGGGTGGTCGGCGGAAAAAAGTGTGGCCCCTGCTCGTGCCCGAAGCCAGCAACGAGGGCTCGCTCCCTCCTCGCGCCGACACGCGAACGCTTCCGCCCTGCATGCCCGCCCCCACCAGATGAGAAGCGGAGGGTCTCTCTTCGTAAGGTTGTACTCGGGGGGCATTGATATGTTGAAGGCCTCCCTCCCTCTAGGTGCGAGCAGCGCCCCAGACTGTTGCTCAGGTGGTCATGCAAGCATGGCTGCTGATGCGCTGCACGTGATCTCCAATCTTCCACACAACCGCCATCGATAACTGATACATGCAAGGAGCCGACACAACGAGTTATCCGAAATACTACTGGGCTTTGGAGCTTGAAAGCATCCACACGTGGGAACTACTAACATGCGACTGCGCATATGAGAATAATGTGTGGGTGGGCAGGCACGTGGCTGAGAAGACGCTGGACAATGAATGCTTGATTAAACCTTGCGGGCTCGAATCATTGAACAGCGTATGGATGTTTGGCGGCGAGCGCGGGGGGGAAATGAGAAGGGGAGGAGGAGGAGGAGGAGGAGGAGGAGGAAGAGGAGGAGGAGGAGAAGGAGGAAGAGGAGGCGGAGCGTGCACCAGGAGGAGGAAGAGGAGGAGGAGGACTTCTCAGAAGGCGGCGGGTCTTCTCAGAAGCCCTCGCGCCTGGAGCACTTCTGAGAGAAGGCCCGTCCACTCTCGCCTCCCCCCCCTCACTCGTCGCAGAGATGTGTCTCGAACGAGATATCGGACCGAGCGTCGCCGCGTCGCCCTGAGCACTTGGCTCAAACAGATGGCAGCTTCAGAAACGACCATGGCTCCCGCGACCAAAGATAGGTGGCACAGAACGTACAGAAACAGGCAAGCCTGAAGAAATTCGCCGTTGGCGCCGATTGGAGCGGACATTCGTCTTCCAGCGCTAGACGGTGATTCGCCGTAGACGTCTTCGATATTTACGTTTGGGTTGTACCGACGCGCTCCGCAGGCATGACAGCGAGCGCACTGCGGGTGGAAAATACTTAGCACATGCGCATACGTACGCACAGAACCAAGTGCGCTGTGCGCTGAATATAAGTGGTGCGCCAGGTAGGATCGATTGGCCTGTCAACCGCCTCTCCACGATCCGAGCCACTATCGCTTGCAATGTCAACAATTGCCTTGCGAGCGTCGTAGGCCGAATCGTCACCATTCCTTTGCCCGCGTGGGTAGCAAATGTCCGCCCCCCCCTCGGTCATCAAGAACGGTGTAGTCTCTCCAGGGCTTCTCGAAGAAGCCGAAAATGGCATGCGCCGGCACCGGCCCTGCGATGCTGCCTCCCTCAAGCTTGCTGTCATGGAAGGAAATGTGCTCTCAGGGATGGGGAACGAGCAAGCAATCACGCGCGCAGTCAAGAGAGCAACCACGCAAGGAAGCAAGCACACGAGCGGTCGCGCCAACGGGTAGGCATGCGAGCGCGCAGGCAAGCACACACAAACCTTCGCCCGCGCAGGCAGCCAGGAGAACACGCACGCAAGCAAGCAGCATCGCAATCGAGCAACCAAGAAGGCAATGGCCTGAGCAAGCAACGAACGCAATCCATCGCGCAGCCTGCCGTCGCTCGGACGTCCATTTCCCGTGCATGTGTCGGTTTCGTGCGTGCTTGTTTTTTGCTCGATGGTCCAGGATGGTCCTCGATGGTTCTCGCCGAGAAAAAATGCACACGTCCGAGCGATGCCAAGGCAGTGAACACGAGCCATCGAGCAATCCACAACGCAGGCAGTCCGCCCGCCACCCCTCCCTGGCGGGCGCCGGGCCGTGGGGTCCTCGCTGCACTGCTGTCCTGTTGTCCCCTGTACTGTCGTTTGCGGCAGGGGCCCGACCACAGGAAATCTTCCACAAAAAACCCAACCCTGAGACCCCAGGACGCCCATTGACTTGTGGTGTGGGAACGTCGCGCTGTCCATAGCAAGCCCATCGAAAGTCAAGAAACCCAGGGCACCCTGGAGGCGCGGGGTGCTTCTTGGCATGGGTCTCCACTGTGCAGTGTCTCGTGTCTCTCCAGTCCTGTCTCCTTGTTCACTGTCCATTGCGGGGCCCGCAGCATCCCCAGAAACCACCTGGGGAGTGGGGGGCCCTCTGATTCCTGGCGGTCCCGGGATGCCCCAGGGCTCCCAGCCAGGGATGCCGCCGAACGGCCACGAGGGCCCACGAGGCCTCGCAGACGGCCCCGGGAGGCCAAGAAGAGGGACTCTCGGACCCCAGGCAGCCCGCGGGGTCCCGAAGACGCCCCAAGATGGCCCCGAGGCGGAAGGCGGCCGAAGAGGCCACAAGACAGAGAAACATGCATTAATGCTCATGAAGTTGTTGAGAGATTTTCGGAGTCTCGCCGATTCAAGCTTCAGGAAGCCTAAGACGGCCCAATACGCTTCCGAGATAATCTCATGACAGTCCGAGGGCCTCAAAGCGGCCCTCAGGATGGCCCCAGGACTGCCCAAGAGGGTCCCAGGACCCCGCGATAGCCCCTGGACGCCAAATACCCTCAAGACAGCTAGCATGGGCGCAGGATGGCCCAAGATGGCCCCAATACAGCCCAAAAGAGCACCAACACAATCCAATAGGACCCCAAGTGGCCTGAAGAGGCCCCAAAAGCCCCCAAGGTGACCTCAGAATACCCCGAGACACCCTCAGGCTCCCCGAACACCCAACACAACCGTTCAGCACATATCCCACGAGTTCTCTGCAAATCCACCGTTCTGCATCTCTGTAGACAGAAACGACTACCAATTGCAGATCACGGCTAGATGCTAAAACTTTGCCGCGACAAGCGGCGGCGGCAGCAGCAGACGGTGAAGAGGTAAACGATTCGTCAGGAGACTGATGAGATGACGGATAGGGGGGAACTGAAAACCTAGAAGGGAACCATGGACGGAGCCGCTGACACTGCACCAGACGCCCACACGCATTGCAACACGCATGCTCGGACTGATGTTCAACTCCGTCCCCCCACGACGAGGAGCGGAGCGGGGCCGCGGCAGGGAGCACCTCTTTGCCCGCTCCCACTACCGCATCAGAGGCAACAGCTCACACGGATCGCCCGTGCACTGCGCAAAACGAGCAATGTGGGCGACCTTCTCCTCAGCAGAGCAGCCCGCAAAATGGAGAATCGGGTGCCCGTAGGCGACGGCCGCAAGCCCGCCGCCGCCGGGCCACTCGTACGCGTTCAGGAGGTGCTGCGGCACGACGGCCACGCGCGCCGCGACGTCCGCCGGCAGCAGGTGCCGCATCGCGTGCTCGCACTCCTGCAGCTCTTCTCTTGCCAGCCCCCTACTCCTCCCCAGGCTCACGACTGGGAAGCCTTGCCATATCGGCGCGGCGAAAGCTTCGGGCTGCGCACAGACAGCCTCCCCGAGCACAGACAGCTCTCCCAAGTAGTCCCCACTGACCTCAATAGGCCCCCCCGAGTAGTCCCAGGTGGCCTCAGTTGACCCCCAGTCGGCGGTGGACAAACCTCCCTTTAGTAAACCTCCCCTCAGTGAAAACGGCCTGGGGCCGAAACCGACGGACCCGGACCCGCAAAAAAGACGGCCGCGACGCCCCCCCGCGAACCGAAAACGGCCCATTCCTTAATCGACGTGTCAGGGTAGGAGGTCTATCCACCTCCGATCAATAGGATTAGGTCGGGCCTGTCCCCCTACAAAGGGGTTTTGGGCGAAAAATCCCAAATACCCGGAAATACACCGAAAATGCTCAAAAATATTAAAACCATAGTCCCCAGACTTTTTCCCCTACCTAGGCTCTGCCTAGAAGGTTCTTACTCTCTGGGCTGAAAGGGGCCGGGCAGTGGAAAGCGCCCCGGGCGGTTCCCTCAGTATCCGCCCCGCGGTTCCCCCAGTTGTGTCCCCAGGCCACAGAGAGGGCCACAAGACGGCCCAAGAGGGCCCATACACGGCCCCAAAGGCGCTCAAGACGGCCCAAGGCCTGCCCCAATTAGCATGGGTGTATTTCCCTACCTAGGCTCTGCCTAGAGGGTTAGCTTAGTTGAGCTTAGCTTAGCTTAGCTTAGCATAGCGCAGCGCTGCATTAGCATAGCATATCATAGCATGACATAGCCAATCATAACATACCATAGCATATGATAGCATAGCGCGACATAGCATGTCTTAGCATAGCATCGCATATCATATCATAGCATCGCATATCATAGCATACAGCAGCTTACCATAGCATATCATAGCATAGCATAGCATAGCATATCATAGCTTAGCATATCACAGCGCAGCATGACATAGCATCGCTCAGCTTAGCATATCATAGCATGGCGCAGCATATCATAGCATAGCATAGCATAGCACAGCGCAGCATAGCATGGCATATCCTAGCATAGCATGGCAACGAATGCTGCTTTCCTAGGGGCTCCAACTTCTAGGCAGGGTCGCACTGGGGTAACTCTCTATGTTTGAATACCCCCCTGTAGATGGGGAGAGGCCCGACTCAACAACAGGCCCCCCCGAGCAGTCCCAGCTGGCCCCCGTTGGCCCCCTGGGAGAAGCCCGAGGCGGCCTCCGCACGGCGCCTCCGGGCGCCGCCTCCCGGGGGGGGGGCACGCGGCGCCCCCCCCCCCCTGGGGCCGAGAGGCCGCCCGCGACTGCTCGTGGGGGCCCGTCGAGGCCAGCTGGGACGTCATGCACGGCAGAGGGCTCGCCGTTGTCACTGCTGCTGCTGTCGTGTGCGTGCATACCTGGAGCCGAACGCGTGGGCTGGAGGACTCCGCCGCGTGCGAGTACTACGCGATGCGTCGAGCATGATCGAACCACGCGGGTATATCCTGCTCCACCCAGCCCGCTGGGGCGGGGCTCAGGTGGTGCTTTCCGCTCCGCGACGGCTGTCTGGGGGGCCTGTCTGTTCGCCACCCGAAGCCTCAATCATCAGATCCACGACCTCGCGGTCAAGATTCCGCGGCGCGATCCCGCGGATACGCGGTCACCTGGATGCATCTCACGGGGCATCCGCGAACAAAACGCTCCGCATCCATGGGGTCGTGGCCCTGGGGCGCGGCCTGCGAGGCTGTCGATATGTGGATACGGATCTGTTCCCCGTCTGCGACAGACCCCCTGGGCGTCTAGGAAATAACTACAACAAGCTGTTGACATGTTTCATCCCCCAGGGGCCACACTTCAGTCGGGCATGTCCCTCTACAGGAGGAGTATTCAACACTAGTCAAACAATAGTCTTTGGGACGACGATTCTACGATTTTTGAATGTGTTAGAATATTGTCGGGGTATGTTTGATCTTTCGTCCAAGACCCGCCTGTAGGGGGACATGCCCGACCCGAGGGCCTACCAGACCCCAGGGCCATCCAAAGGACGCTCGGGGTGAGAAGCCCGTCCCCTGGGACGGGGTCCAGGCCCCCGGGAGCCCACGCTGCGACCAGAAATCGCCACGCCATGGGCCTGGGCCCTTCCCCTCTTCGTGTAGGTCGGGCATGTCCTCCTACAGGCGCATGCTGGAGGAATACTTAGACACAGACATAGTCCAATGTATTCAAGAATAGCCAAACAATAATCGAAAAATCGTTCCCATACTTTTTTTGACTGTTTGGAATATTCCTCCTGTAGAGGGACATGCCTGACTTAATTCTTCGTCCGCCTCCCCCTCCTCCAGCTCCGCCGCTTCCTCCCCCACCGCCCCCCATTTCACAACAAGCAGCTCGAGCTCCTGCTGCGTGCGAGTGGGCACCTTCATCCTCTCGAAGGCTGGCATCCAGGTATCGGGATCGTCGGGCGAGCCACCTCCGAGCATGATCATCATAGCTCCGTTGTCCTCCCAATGTGGCCAAGGATAAATCTGAAAGGCGTCCCGGAGGAACCTGGACGCCCACTGGCCGCGCCGGGCCAGAAAATGCCCAGCGTTAAACACAACATTGAGATCACCAGCAAAAACAAAGTCCCGATCGAGCTCGCACGCCCACTGGAGGTCCACCCCGTCATGCAGGAACAAACTGTCAGCATCCATCCAGAACACATACTCCGCACCCTCCTCGAACAGCTGCAGCACATGGCTTATCTTTGACCAGGTGGGGTCCTCGCGACCTGCTATGTTCTCTTCAAGACACGCGTATGTATGGAAGGAGAACAAATACATAAACATCAACTTTTGGCGCTCCGCGCGGATTTCTTGGATCTGCTTTGGACCCCCCTCCCTGGCGCGCGGAGCGCGCCAGAAGGCGGCGCCGGAGGCGCCGCCAGGGCGGCCCAGCGCGGATCGAAGAAACCCGCGCGGAGCGCCCAAAGTTCATGCCTCTGGCGTTTTCTCTCCTTCGAACGTGTACCCGTGCAGGGCGCACCACCGCGCGTGGTTCTCTCGGGCCGGCCGCATCCTGGCGATGAAGTCGGCCCCGTGGAAGACCGACGCGACAACGACGCGGGCGCGCGCCTCGCCCCCTCCTCCTCCTCCTCTCCTCCTCCTCCTCCTCCTCCTCCTCCTCTCTCCTCCTCCTCCTCCTCCTCCTCCTCCTCCTCCTCCTCTCCTCCTCCTCCTCCTCCTCCCTCCTCCTCCTCCTCCCCCTCCTCCTCCTCCTCCTCCTCCTCCTCCTCCCGCGGGCGCGCGCCTCGCCCGGCGGCGCCCTCGGCGAGCCCCGCCCCGCGCGCGCGCTTCCTGCGCGGGCCCGGAGTTCCTCCCACGCCGGCTCGTGCGGGAAGGCGGCGAGGCCCTCTTCGACGGCGCGCAGAGGAGGGGGGCAGGGGGGCAGGGGGCTAGGTCCGGCATGTCCTCCTGCAGGCGGATGTTGGACGAACGAGGGAAAAACAGGCAGAACAAATCATTCCCAACAGAAATCAAAAATAGCCCAAAAAAGGTCGTCGCCAGACTGTTTCTTGACTACTTTTGAATACTCCTCCTGTAGAGGGACATGCCCGACCTAAGGCATGGGGGGCGGCCTTCAAGGGAGGGCGGGGACCGTCTTGGGAGGGGTCGGGGGCCACTGAGAAGGTTACAGGCTGCTGTGTTGCATCTTCGGGGGACCTCGTGTGTCGCATCGCGACAACTGAGGAACAAGGAAAGGCGACACCTACACCAACAGGGCGAGGAGATGCGAGGAGGCAAGGGGGAACTCCCTGGTGGTGTGGTCCCACCCTCTCGCTCGAGACATCCCCAGCCTCCAGCTCGGAGAGGCATCGTGGACCTCCTCGCTGGCGGTGGGCCCCCCGATGGTGATGGTATCGCTTCTCCTCCCTCCGACAACTATCCCTGTCGAAACCGCGTCGAATACGTGTCGAATCTGGTAGAAAAGGTCGGACCCGGGGTCGAACCCACGTCGAGTTCACATCGATTCCGCGTTGGGCCCGCGTCGAGTACAAGAAAAAATGCAATCCCACCAGCCCTCTCGGCGTACGTGGCCTGCCAGTATGTGTCTTCTCTCTTCCAAACTTCCTTCTTCCCCTTCGGGGAGGCGATTACCTCTCCTCTACCCCCTTCCAGGGGTCTGGACGGGGGGCGCCGCGATGGGTTTGAGTTTCCTTCGTCGCTTAAGTTGCCTCCAAGAGGCCTCTGATGTTACAAGATGGCATCCAAGATGGCTCAATATAGCCGAAGATGGTTCAAGTTGGCATCCATCATGCCTCCAAGAGGCCCCCAATAAGGACCCAAGAAAAAGGCTCAAGACTACCCCAAGAATACTCCACGATGGCTCCACGCGTTCTCGTCCTCGTTGTCATCCTCTTCCTTGTATTCGTTTTCCTCGTCATCGTCCTCGTCCTCGTCTTCGTCGTCGTCGTCTCTTTCCTCCTCCTCCTCCTCCCCCGAGTCATCTCATCCTACTCGTCATCCTCGTGTCCTTGTCCTCATCCTCGTGTTTGCCATGGTCGTCGTCCCCACCTTCGTCCGCCTCGTCGTACTCCTCCTCATCCTCCCCCTCCTCCTCTTCCTCCTCCTCCTTCTCCTCCTCCTCCTCCCCCTCCCTCTCCTCCTCGTCATCCCATCCTACTCGTCCTCCTCTCGTGTCCTTGTCCTCATTCTGGTGTTTGCCCTGGTCGTCGTCCTCGTCGTCCGCCTCGTCGTCCTCCTCCTCCTCCTCGTCTTCCTCCTTCTCCTCCTCCCCGTCCTCCTCCTTTTCCTCGTCCCCTCCTTCTCGCCCACGTCTTCGTCTTCGTCGTCGTCGTCGTCGTCGTCCCCCTCCTCCTCCGCCTCCTCTTCCTCCTCCTCATCCTCCTAATCCTCCTCCTCATCCGCTTCCTCCTACCCTCCCACTCTCCCTCTCCCGTCCTCCCTCCCTCCTCCCCCTCCTCCGCCAGAAGATGCGGTTCGATGGCTGTCCCAGCTATTCATTCTACTTCGCTGACCAGACCAAATCCGCAGGGCATCGCTGCTGGATGGCTGGCAGGGGTTCAACAAGCGCCACGCAGCCGCAGCTAGCCAAGGCCGCCCGCAAACGCAACGTCGAGAAAGCATCCTGGAAGGCGGAAGCATGGAGCTTAGACTGCACGACTCTTCAGTGCGCGCGTCAGCCCTGTGGAACCGACGTGCACACAGTGGAAATGTGCGTGCGTGCGTGCATGCGTGCATGTGCGTGTGTGCGTCTGTGTGTAAGTGTGTGCATGGTTTGTGTGTGAATGTGCGTGAGTGTGTGTATGTGTCTGCGTGTGTGTATGTGTATGTGTGAATGTGTGTGCATATGTGTGTGCGTGTGTGTGTGTGTGTGTCGGTGCATGTGTGCACGTGTGCGCGTGCGTGTGAATGTGTGTGTGTGTGTGAGGGGCGTGTGTGGTTGTGTGATGAATGTGTGTGAATGTGTGGGCTGTTGCGTGTGTATGTGCGTATGTCTGTGAATGTGCGTGTGTGTGAGTGTACGTGTGTGCGTGTGTGTGTATGTGTGCGTGCGTGCCCGTGTGTGTGCATGTGTGTATGTGTGAATGTGTGCGTGTGTATGTGTGTGTGTGCGTGCATGTGTGTGTGTGTGTGCGTGAGTGTGCGTGTGTGTGCGTGAATGTGCGTGCGTGTATATGTATGTGCGTGTGTATATGTGTGCGATTGTATGTGTGTGAATGTGTCTGAATGTGTGTGCATGTGTGTGAATGTGCGAGTGTGTGCGTGTGTGCGTGTGTGTGTGTGTCTGTGTGTGCGTGTATGTGTATGTGTGTGGATGTGTGTGTGTGTGAATGTGCGCGTGTGTGAATGTGCGTGTGTGTGTATGTGTGCGTGTGTGTGTGCGCGCGTGTGTGTGTGCGTGTGTGTGCGTGCTTGTGCGTGGGTGTGCGTGGGTGCGTGAATGTGCGTGCGTGTATATGTATGTGCGTGCGTGTATATGTGTGCGTGTGTATGTGCGTGAATGTGTGTGAGTGTGTGTGAATGTGTGTGTGTGAGTGCGTGTGTGTATGTGTGTGCGTGTATGTGTAAGTGTGTGGATGTGTGTGTGTGAATGTGCGCGTGTGTGAATGTGCGTGTGTGTGTATGTGTGTGCGTGTGTGTGTGTGTATGTGTGTGCGTGTGTGTGTGTGTGTGCGTGTGCATGTGTGTGCGAGTGTGTGTGTGTGTGTATGTGTGTGAATGTGTGTATGTCTGCGTGTGTGTATATTGGTGCGCGTGCGTGTGTATGTGTGTGCGTGAGTGTGTGCGTGTGTGTGTGCGATGTGTATATGAATGTTCGCGTGTGTGTGTACGTGCGTGCGTGTGTACGTGTGTATGTGTGTGAATGTGCGCGTGTGTGTGTGTGGGCGTGTGTGTGTGTGTGCGTATGTGTATGTGTGTGCGTGTATGTGCGCGTGTGTGTGTGAATGTATGTGTGTGAATGTGCGTGTGTGTATGTGTATGTGTATGTGTATGTCGCTCGTAGTCAATCGATCTAGTCGTATTAATATGTGTATGTGTATGTGTATGTGTATGTGTATGTGTATGTGTATGTGTATGTGTATGTGTGTGCCTGTGTATGTGTGTGCGTGTGTGTAGTTATGTGTTTGAGTGTGTTTGTGTGAATGTGCGTGTGTGTGTGTGCATGTGTGTGCATGTGTGTATGTGCGTGTGCGTGGGCACTGACGACAGGAGGCCCCCGCCTCCTCTGCCGCTCCCCGCCTCCTCATAGAAGGCCCGCCCCCCTCGCCCAGGGCCCCCGACAGAGATCCGCTCGAGCCCGGCCCACGGGACCTCTCCTGGGGACCTGCCCTGAGATCCGACGTTGCGAGAAAGAGAAAAAACAGCATCGCGAACAAACACGACCGGAGATCCAGGCCCCACCTCCAGGGAGCCCACAAAGGACGTACGCGCCCAGCTATGTACATGAACGCGGCCCCTCGATCCGCGAGACCAGCCGCGTTATACGAACATTTGCGCAATGCGTACTCTCGAAATCAGCGTGGATTCATGTACGTGTACGTCCTTTTGTCGCTCCTGAACCTCTCTGCATCAGGGTTCGAGCGGGATCGATATTGTGACAACCCGGGCCCCGGCACCGGGCGAGAACGCCCGGAGCGAACAACAAATGCTACACCAGCATCGCGGGGATCCGGGCCCGTTTAACGAGCCGCGTCCAGCCGAGGCGACGAGAACCTTCAGGAACGACCACGACGACGGCGAAACCCTCATCAGAGCGACGACAACCACGACGACGACGACGACGACGAGAAAAACGCCCACCCACCCCCAAAACCCCCCCCCCCAAAAAAAAAAGACAACGACGACGTCAGCGACGACGGCGTGGTCTCGCCCGCCCTCCCTCCTCCTCCGAGGCCAGAACTTGCGCACATCCGCCGCATCGGGAACCGATGTCCCGGGACCTTACATGAGGCTTGCCAGTGGATAGTGGGTACAGCTGTTCATGTATGTGTATATTTGTGAATGTGTAGAAAGAGCTATGTATAGACCCAGACAAGTTTTTACCGGCTCGCTACGCTTCGGCAATAGAGTTTTGGTCGCATGGCGCCAGCGAGGTGCGCTGCGACCGCCATTGCTGTCACTTGGGCATGGGGGAATGGGGCGGCGCGGTCCAAGAGCATTTTAGAGGTTGCGGGCGTCACTGGTCTGGAAGGCTCTCCGAAGGCTCTAGGGCGCCCGAGGTTTGTATTGTTCATGCGGGTCAATGGTCACATGTCTCAGGGAGCTT